CAGCAGGGACGGTCCGAGGGGGCATGGCCTGACAGCCCGCAGGCCTTCAGAGCCCTTCAAGAGGCATCAGATCACCCTAGAGTCCAACAGGCAGGCGGCGGGGTCTACTCTTACTCTGTGGATTTATTAGGAGCTTACTTAATTCTCTGAACTTTAGTTTCCTTTTTCTTTTTCTTCTTTTGCTTTTAATGCTGAAGGCGGGGGGGAGGGGGGTCGGGAGTGGGGTACAAAAGAAAGCAGGTGAAAGTGAGAGAAGAGGGAGGAAGCTTCCTCCCCAGCAGGGCCTGGCCGTGCTGCAATCCTTCTTCTCATTCTCCGTCTGTCAGTACCCTGGCATGCCTGGAGGTGCACAGCTGCTGAGGCTGGGCCCCTGCAGGGTCCAGCTTCCTCCGCGCAGTGCTGAGCTGCTTGCTCTGAGACTGGGCCTCCCTCTTCCTTAACCTTGCAGCCCTGCTGGCTGGGTGAGAGAGGTGACACGGGGAAGCCCCTGCAGCGTCTCTGCACAGAAAGAGTCCAGGGATGACTTAACACCCTTCTCTTTTCTCCATGTACAGATTCAAGTCTTGGCTTTTAATAAGCCGCACGGTTCAGGCAAAGTCTTTTCCTCTCGGATGTTTGTGAAGATAAGGTGGCTGGAATACCGAAGCTCTCAATTGCGTGATTCTAAGGAGTCCTGTGCTTCAGGTCCAGCACTGCTGCCCCCAGTACCGCAGGATCCAGAGCCCATTAGACGTCACCGTATTCTCTTCCTTACCTCAGAGTGAGGACTGGGTCTGTTCCTAGCTCATTTCTTTTAAGTAACAGGTGATGAAATCGTTGTCTGTGTGTTTTTCAAAGAAGTTAGGTACCACAGCTGCAGTCGCTGTGTGGTTTGGTTGTCATTGCAAAATGGGCCACCTAGACACATTGGTGTATGGCAAGCTCATTCTACAAAACTAATGAAAGCTCAGAAGCATAGAAACCCTGTTGGTGTGAGTTCGTATCACCAAGCGATCATTCTATCACCAGGTTCCTTTAAGCCTAAGTAGATCTTGGAACTTAAGAGGAATTAAGCCAAATTGATCCATAGTCTACTTCTTAACTTTGAAAAATGCCACCGTTCAAAAATAGAATATGTTTGCCCATCACCAGGGAACCCTCTGAGACTTAAAAATAATGACTTCAATTTTGAATGTTAAAATAGAAACTAGAAAGGCCTAAGCAAATATAAAAAAAATGGCATGAATATGAAATATGTCATATGAATTTCAAGCTAGTTTTTTCTTTTTCCTTGTTGCAAATGTAACACATTATCTTGAGGTGGAAATGTTTTAAACATTGAAATAATAGCTTCATGATTTAACTGTGGAGAACTGTCACCATTCTGGTGCATTTCCTCCTAGTGACACCCTCATGAGCACTTCCACACGTGTGAGTGCACACGCCACCTGTGTATTGGCAACACTGGACACTTATGCCTCAGCTCGGTTTTTCCTGACCATGAAACGCAAACAGCCAACTTCCACACTGTCTGACTACCTGGTCTGCTCCAAACTGGTCTCCTGTGATGGAGACTTTGAGAGCCCAACTTGAGACAATCTGGGGTCGTCTGCTCACTGGATAGTCTGCAGACACCTTAAACTCAGCACGCACAGATGGGACTCCTTCCCACCCAAACCTTCTCCCTTGGTAGATTAAGCTTAGGGTGTGGTGCCCTTTCCTCTCCCGTGGGCAAGCCATAACTCAGGGACCAATTTTTAGTCTTTCTACTTCCTCGTCAACAGGCAATCTGATGCCAAGTTCTGGTCACCTCTGTCATATCTGGATTAACTGCTGTGACTTCTAACAAGATCTCAGGCAGGGTACTGTTCCCAAGAATTCACATGTGATCACATGACCTTGTGCACAGAATCCCCCAGGCCTTCACTGCTCTCAGGATAACGATCCACTGTTAACGGGACTCATAACATCCCCTGACCTCAGGAGCTCTGCCGGCTCACAACATGCCCTGAATTCAGGAGCTCTGTCGGCTCTTACCTTGCCCGGGGCCACTTCCTAACACGGTAAGCACTGCCACACTGAGGCCATTCCTCATGATTTCTAGGCTATGCATGCACCTGCAAAGTCCTGAGTTAAATGCTATGTTCTCCTAGGACACTTGTCCTGAAGGCCATAAATGCTTTATTTCTAATAAGCTTATACGATTTGTATATAGCAGAATATGAAGGACTAGTTAGATGAGAAAGTCTTAAGAAACTGGGAAATCTTGTATCACGTTGGGCGGCTGTCCCTCACCGTGGGCTCACGTTGGGTGGCTGTCCCTCACCGTGGGCTCACGTTGGGCGGCTGTCCCTCCCTCACCGTGGGCTCACGTTGGGTGGCTGTCCCTCCCTCACCGTGGGCTCACGTCGGGC